AAGTAACGTCCATTACTTTCAACGAACGACATCTGCCCCCTCCCCTACCCCCCCCCCCCCCCCAACCACCACCTGGTCCCCCTATCATTTTTTGCATTTTTTTTCCCTTGAAACATATTATTTTTTAAAGTGGATAAAATTTAAAATTAATGAACTCAAAGTGATGGCGATTTGTTATGTACTTCATGTTAGTATGAAATTATCTCTCCTCTCCTAGTCCGTTTTATGAAAATTGACACCTTATAATTTTAGATTTTAAGATTCTTAAAATAATCCAGTTATATAAAGATTGACATGTTGTAAAACTTGCACTTTAACATTCTATTTAAAACCTTAAATGACACATTGTTATAAGAATTAATATGACATATTGAAAACTACCATTTAGTCATATGTATCAGAATTATTTCATTCTTTGTTAAAGGCGAAAATACATAAAGTGCCCCTTTAATTTGTCCTTAAGGATCAACTGAACACCTCAACTAAGGTCATTTATATCCTATTGATTATAAACCAAAATTATTTTAAAATATTATTTTCTAGAGCTACCTTTTATATTTTATAGCAAAATAAGTATTTATGGTATATACTACCATTGAGGCGTGAAATATGATATTTATGTTTTTCCTCTCTCTTTCTTTCAATTAACGTACGATTCTCTCTCAAAAAAATTCTTCTCTCTCTTCGAGCAAAATAGGCCGAATCATAGATGCACGAAAGAGAAACAAATTATGAAAGCAAGCCTCAAAATCTCAAAATCATAAACATAAAAGTAAACCTATAATCAAAAAAAGGAAGCGGAGATATCTTGGGCGACGAAGAGATTGAAGAGAAAGAGGGATTCTTAGAGCGGTAAGTAAGAGAGAAAAGAGGAAGAAGCGGTCGAATTGGAAGCGTTGTAAATTGTAATGGAAGAGGTAGTGAAACGATACAAGGAGTTTTTGGACGGAAAACGCCATCTCCGACGAACTTTCTTCTCTTCTTTGCTATTTAGCCACATACAATGATACAAATGCATTGTATTTTGTACAAATTTCACTAAAACACAATGTATTTTTGTATAAATACTTTTTTTTGCCTGTATTTATGTATTTCGAAGGTTTGTATTTTTTTAATACAACTGAATACACATGTTCATGCATACTGTATATACAATATGCATGAATACAAGATATAAACATTGAAATACACTAAATACAAACATTAAATAAAACAGAATATTAACAGTGGATACATTTAATTTTAAAATACAGTACAGTAAAATACACTGAAGATAATATACCGAATATAACATTAGTGAATCTCACCAAGAGTTGCGCGCGTGAAGGCTTGAATTACTGACGTAAAGCTTTTTCTCTTTTTTGTTCAAATACTGTTTTTCTTCTACTTTCTCCTTCATCTTCCTAGCTCCTAGCTTCTAATTCTGGTTTTTGTACAGACTCACTGCAAAGATACAACAGCAAAATTCCAAAAATCAACTTTTTGCTAAGCACTAGAATATAAGGTTTTCTGACCCCTTCACAGGTCCTCTATTTCTTCCGAAGAGGGGAGCGGGGTCGCGGTGATCGGGAAATCCGTCATCAATGTGATGACCAGAAAATTGCACCATTGTTCCTCTCTTGATAATATGCCAAAAACATATATTGGAACTATTAATTTGCTGCATATATTGCAGCTAAGTAGTGGAGTGGGGGTAGTGGACTTTCTGGGTATTGTGATTCCTTATTATCCTCATGCTGACAAGAAGATCCAAAGCAGCACCAACTTGGTGATTGATTTTGTGTTCTTTATAAGTATGATTGTAGTGTACTTTTTTTTAAAGTTCAAATTTTAAAAGAGATGTTAGTGATTTTCTATGGTGATTGTTAGTGCGGTGACAGAAGATGAACAAGCAGGTGATGAGGGAGATGAAAAGAGAGAGGAAGGTGCTGGGTCCGGTATGAAGAGCCAATGTGTATTTTTTAGTGATGTGGTTTTCTTTCATTGGTTATATTGCCATGTAAGGAGCGTTTGGATTCACGTGCTTATTTTTTTGCGGATATCAGTTTTTTGTGTTCAAATAGGTCCATTACGCAAATAGTTTGAGTGTCGAATAAGTAATAAGCTCACTCTAAGTGTCTAAATGGAAAATGATGACAACTTTAAGGGGTTATTTATGTATTTGGCCTAAAAAAATATTGAAATACACTAAATACAAAAATTATATATAACTGAAAAATCGTTCTAATTAATTGGGTTGATAATGAAGCGTGTTAAAATTGATTTTGTTGAGTTATATTATGAGTGTATCACGCTAATTGATATTATTTTCGTTATTAAACAGTTGGACATACCTATTTTTTAAGGTATTTGTCGTTGCTATATTCATGAATACATGGCACGAATACATGTGAATACGTGCATGTACAGCTGGACTGCCTTGATTTTAGGCGCTTTCTGATGCTGTATTCATGAATACAGCATCGAATACATGTGAATACATGCGCGTACAGCTGGACTGTCCCGATTTTAGGCGCTTTTTGCTGCTGTGTTCATGAATACATGGCACGAATACATGTGAATACATGCACGTACAGATGGACTACCCTGATTTTTAGGCATTTTTTGCTGTTGTATTCATCAATACAACAGCGCGAATACAACAAATACACTACCGTAACAACTGAATAGTAGCTATAGGAAGTAATTATGTATATGGTAGCTATAGGAAGTTAATAGCCTCTAAACAATAGTGGTTTCTGAAAAATCCTCTTATTTATTCACAAAAGAAGATCAACTAAACACCCGACCATGTCACCCCCCATCACATGCAATGCACTCTCCGGGACGCGAGTTGCCTACCTAAAATTAGGGTTTTTCTTTTCTTTTTCTAAAATAATATGGACCCCACCTAATTTTTACACCTCCTTCTCCTCCAATTCTCTCGACACCTTCCTCTACCCTAAATCACCTCTGCCTCAATTACGAAAGAACAGAATTACCAAATATATCATCACACTAATTCAACAAAATTTTCATACCAAACCCATTCTTCTCTGTCACCTGCTTCGAATCTCAATCTAGCAGAGAATAGCAGAAGAAAGAAACTGGAATGTTGGTGACGGGTCACACGGCTGAACAAAGAGACATAAAACCAATTTCGACGGAAAAAATGGAGGCTGCCGAAATTTTTTTGAAGGACCCATCTGATTCTTCTTACTCTCTCTCTCGTTAAAAAATGGAGTTTCTTCTTCTGCTTCTTCTTCATTTGCATATTCAGACGCCAATGGCATGCCATTATCCGGAAAGAATTTATTGCTAGAAAGATGGAATATTATCAAATCTTCATCGCCGATCTAACTCCTCATCTCTCTAACTTCCTCGCCGCCTAGCCGGTCATCTTCTCCGGAGGCGGCGATTGGTGGCGATGTGGCGGCAGAAATCGAGGAAGGGAGGAGTCGGCAGCTACTATGCTAAAATGAGAGAGGAGATAGTAAAGAAAGTTTCTTTAAATGTATTTTTTTTTATGTTAAATTTTTATGGCAAAATTTTTATGGTATGTTGTACTCGGGTATTTACTTGACCTACTTAATAGCCACTTGAAGTGTTAAAATAAAAAATGACTAGGTTGAGATGTTCAGTTGATCGTTAAGGACAACTTAAAGGGATGCTTTATGTATTTCGCCTTCCTTAATTTCTATGTGTAGTCACATACCATCATATAAAACAAAATTGAGGGACATAAAATAGCTCCACTGATGATTGTTGATCAATTGAGGGTTATCTCAAACGTCTGTATTAAAATACACATAGAAAATCATCCAATTCATTTCACTTTTTGTAATGGCTAGCTCCAAACTCAGATAAAAGAAAAGAGTTGTGATACCTTGATAGCTAAAGAATAAAAAAATATTAACTTATTGAAGTGAACAATTGCTGCCTGTAAGCCTGTGTAGGTTTTGTTCTATTTTTCCTTTGTCAATCTAGAAAAGATTCGTTACTATTTTCATTTTGCTCTGTCATAAGTCATAACTCAACTATCATCCAACATCTACCAAACACAGTATTACAGATTTCGATGTTGACAACAGATGAGCAGGAAATACAATGGAAATAGGCAAACTTCCTACTTCTGTTCCTACCTAGGAAGGCTGTGCAAGAATCTCCTTATTTACATTAGCACTATCGTCGCCTTTGGAGTTTTTTTCTCCAGTTTGTACATCGTCGTTTCCATTTTCTACTTGTCCCTCTTTCTGCTTACCCTTTCCATTTTCAGCAGGTTGATCTTTCTGCTTAGCCCTTTCGCTAGATTCTGTAGACGAGGAGGATTCGGAGTTCCTTTTAGACTTGCTGCCACTGTCCTCTGTGAAAAGGGAAAAGAGGGAGAAAAGAAAAGATAGCAATGAGTTCATCAATACTGAAATATGGCTCGAGATGGATTATGTAAGGGTATCATAGTGCCTCTATTTGAACTAGCTAACTCAGACAACATAACTGACACTAGGGATGGCAAACGGGCAGGTCGGGACGGATATAGGCAGGTTGAAAACGGGTAATAAAAAGACAGATAAATTAGCCGACCTGACCCATATTTAATACGGAAAGAAAATGGGTTAACCGGCAGATAATATGGATATCCATATATCCATGACTTCTTAAATATGATCATTTTTGGGGAGGAACCCCAAATTTGAGTCTTTACAAATGTAAAAGTTAAACCTATTAGTTATCCACTGGTTATCCATTTTCTAAGTGGATAATATGATTCTTATCCATCTTTGACCTGTTTTTAAAAAGTTCATTATCTAACCCATTTTTAGTGGGTAATATGGATGAATAACTGTTTTTTTTTATTAATTTTCCCACCACTAACGGACACTGAGAAAGTTTGTATTACACAACTATAACCATGCAAAGCTATATGATGATCTTCTTACCCTTCCCATTTTCAGCAGGTTGATCTTTCTGCTTAGCCTTTTTGTTAAAATCTGCAGCCGTTGAAGATCCTGACTTTCTTTTAGACTTGCGTTGTCTGAACTCTGTGAAGAGGAAAGAGAGAAAAGAAAAGAACACGGAAAAGATAGCAGTGAGTTCACCAACATTAAAATATTCCTAGAGTTGGACTAGTTAAGGGTATCATAGTTCCTCAATTTGAACTAGATAACTCAAACATAATTGACACTGACAAAGTTTGTAAAGCAATATTCTGCTTGTTATCATATGCATTATCTGATAACTCATATATCTACACATTAGACTTCATATTGGCCTTGGATTTTTACTTTACATCAAAGAATAAACAAAAAATGATGATAAATGATACATTTATGTAACGAATCTCTGAAGCTTGTCACGAGGAAATTTCACTTCAGAGAAAACTTGAAATTCAAAATGATCCAAATAAGGTGGGATAACTAATCATTCTGCTTACTTTGAAGTGTAGCATTATATAGAAGAAATAGTAAACCCCAGCCCCTCTCAACCACTGGAAAAATAGCATGGACGTTCCAAGTACATCATTAAAAATGATGCATTAATTTGGAGACATTCTGAATTATATTCTAGACAAGAGAGACAAAGATACTAGCAAAGTTAACTGTTTAAATTTTTTAAAATTATGATGGAAAAACTATCACTTTCAGAGTGCTTGGTAGCAATAAGCATGGCGTAGAGAGAGATAATGTACTTTGTAACTCTCCAATTTTTCAAGCCCAGTATATTCTTATGCAGAACCTACTTGGATAAATTCTCTTCCAACTTTCTGATCTTATTTTAACACATACAGATATAAAATACCAACGGTTGTTTAGAATCGGCCAGCAAGAAGTGCATTTCTAAAAAAAATCTTTTCCGGCTCCCTTCTTTGTTTGGGGTGCGAGAGGTAAAGGTTTCCAGAGATACATACAAGGGCATAATTTTCAAGGTAACGCAAGGAGATTCTAATCAATTTAAACTAACACATGTGAACAAAGTTTCTTTCTGTCATTTTCTTAACATTCAAGAGTTACAACCACACAACATCCATCTTATTAGCAAAACAGAGGACGAGCAAATTTCTGCCCAGCTGCATAAACATTTTTATTTCTACAAGCTCACAAAACATATCGGCATACGATAGAATACCTAATCATGTAAATAACATGTCATTTCTTGTTAGTTTTAAACTTAAGGACAATATCTACAGGTCAAAGGAAATCAAACCATCTTTACATATGTAACCACTAAGCCCAACTCTCATAAAACTGAATTAGTAAAAACAGATTGTAGTTTAACCAGAGAGATACTACTAACGTTTCGAAAAATAGAAGCGAGCAGATATGATGGAAGCAATACTATTAACTGAGATGCAATTCTCCATGTCAATTGAGATGCCCACTCTGTCCCAAATTAGCACAACCTCATTTTCTTTCTAAGCTACACACCAGGACCTTATTGCAGTTCACTATACTGAATCAGCTGCTTTATTATTTGACACAAGCATTATATAGAAGATTAATCGCCACAAAATTTTCTCCAGTGCATCCTACGTAATGAGCTTTATAAACTGTCATTTGTCGGTGAATCTGTTAGGTGACTTTGGCTTCTAGGACTTTCTCAAATAACTACTCCAGCTCTTGCTTCAATATGAGTTCTTCATTTTGGAAACTACTTTAACTCAATGTATCTAATTTTCTTCTTTCTAATTGCATGCAGAACTATTATGCTTCCACCTATACCTTCTATGCGTTAATACCCTTCCCTAGAGGCAGACAAAAGAAACAAAATATGATGAATTTCTATTTTAAACATACCACGGGAAGTACTTAACGTCGCTACAGAGAGTAGTGAATCCTCATCATCATCCTTGTCAACCAGATGATGACCCACGGGTGAAGCTGTACCACCCTGTCGCCCACCTCGAGCGCGACCAGCACCGCAACGTCTACGAAGAGTCAGAGCGGGCCCATCTTCATACTTGGCAGGCGGTGCATAATCTGCATCAAAAGATAATCTGCGACCCTGGGATGCAGCAAGTAAAGCCTCGGCCGATACGGAGCTCACAGTCCGAGCCCACCCTCTAACTCTTTCATCAACAGCTTCCTGCTGCATCTCCAAGCCCATGCGATAAAGATAATGCAATGCTCTTCCCTAAAAACATAAAAGAGATAATAATAGAGGAAAGTTAATGACTTTTAAATAAAAACTAAAAAAAAACAATGTCATGATTAATTAAAGAAAGTCGCTTTTTACAATAAAACTAAAAACCGATGTAGTGATTGATTAAAGCAAGTCACTTTGCATTTACCAATGCCTCGTGCTGGCCTGCATATGACTGATAACCTCTGTCAGCACGTCGCACAGGATTCCCAATCAGAGTGCGCGTGATTCTCCTATACCAAATCATGTAAGGATCATCATTGGGGATGGTAACATGCGCAGGAACGTCTTGCACAACACGATCAGCTCTCTGCCCCCACAAAGCAGTCTGTTCAGCAATGAACTGCTGAAAAACAGGATCAGCCTTGTAACGTTTATCCCTCAAAAAGTGTCCGTCTTCCCACTGATTATTATCTGGAACACCCTGCGCAAGCCCAAACTGCCGTAACACACGTTTTGGCACGTGATCCTCCACTATATTTTGACAAATAAGTGGCACAGATGCCATCCACACGTGTCGCCCACGGGAGCACCGCTCTGGTAAATCAGCTATGATTCCCTCATCGTAAGGTTGCCAGATGAACTATTAAATCAAAATGACAGCTTGTTTATGTTATTGGTGGAAAATCATAATGATGTGCAATGAAACATAGTATAAATGCAACTACTAATCCTACCTGATCAGGTGTCATAGTATCAAACTGGTCCCTATACAACGGTAGGAAGTGGCCTGCAACGATATCACGGTCCACACCTCTCCCCCACTTCTTTGCATAAGGAGGAGGTGAAGGTGGCTCAGGAGGAGGGACTTCATCAGGGTTCAAGGGGGGCTGGGGACGAGGAATCGGCTGTATAGATAACAATCTCTCCCAAGCCCATACCTACAAAAGAAAGAAAAAAATAACGATCGCCTTACAATTAAGTAATAGAAAGATTTTCTAATTAAACTAACAAAATAATTGAAACTTTTCCTAATTATTCATGCATTTGGAAAACAATAATACAAACGGAACTAAATGTTAACATACTAATTATTAAATGAAACTATAAAACAACTAACTTAAATGAAACCAAATGATAACAATCACGTGTCAATCTATTTTGCTAATTTGTTAATAAGTAAGCAAGTTCAAAAAGAAGATAATAAGAGTTACCTGCAAAAGAGACAAGAAGCCACCAATGTCTGATTTTTGCTCCATGGACGATCGGCACAAACACCTATACAGGTAAGATAGTGCAGCAGATCCCCAGCTATAGTGTACAGTCTTGCCAAGATCCTCGAGCAAGGGCAAAAACTCCAAATTAACTCTGTTCCCTGAAGTGTCAGGGAAGATGAGGCCACCAATCATCCATAAAATGTAAAGCCGGCATCGCTTATGGACCTCCTCATCAGGATCATCATCGGTAAGATCTGCTAACTGGGTAACATGTGCATCAATGGCAGATATCTTCAATCTGCAACCCTTCAACGCTGCTACAGGGGGGCGAAAACCAGTCAGACGCTCCATCTCATCCTGCCACATAGAACATGACTGCTCCTCTACAGCGTGCACAGGTTGTCCATCTACGGGGAGCCCGTACATAATCTCAATGTCTTGTAGTGTGATGGTTGCCTCACCACTTCGAAAGTGAAACGTGTGTGTCTCTGGGCGCCAACGCTCCAAAAGCGCTGTGATCAATGGCCAATCAAGTTGTATCCTACCGACGGCATACACTCCCCAGAATGCTGATCCGTATAAGCATTGGATGATACGATCGCACTGGGGATGATCTCGCATATGACGCCAAAAGTTACCGTCCACACGGCGTGGATGGACTAGATCAGTATCCCCAATGTCTCCTTCCCAAACAAAATGCGACCTATGCATAGACTGCAGCTTGAGCACACTATACTCTAAGGGACCGGGATGAACACGTGAAGGCTCCATCCTAAAATGTACCTACACAATCAAGAGATTATAATCTATAAGCCAATGCATAAAACAAATAAATCAAATGAGACTAAATGTTAACATACTAATTATTATATTGCATTTGCTATCTATTACTAACATAAATACCAACTATCATAACAAATGAAAAAGAAATGCTTTAATTACTTTAAATAATAAACTTGTGACATTAACAAAAAATCACAAATTACATATTATCTAATTAAAGTAACATAGATTCAAAATAAATTCTATGGACCTAATTAAATATTATATATTACAACAATCAGATTGGTTGTTTCAACAAATCTTCGGAACTTCAATTGATTGATAACATTGAAAAACCAAGTTTGTAAAAAATAAAAATAAATGTTTCTTTTCGTAAATTCGAACTATCATTCTTTCACTAAGCTAAATACTAAAATTTTAACAAATTCAGTTAGTGATTCAGAAATTCACTTTCTGTCTCATATTCCAAACTAACATCATATTTAAAACTGATAAATGGACCTTGGGCCTAACTCAACCCCAAAAGCTAGCTTATGAGGTGAGGATTGCCCAAGAGTATATAAGGAGACCAAGGACCTCAAATACCCAGAATATACTTTAGTCTGCCAAGATCTTTAGTCTGAAAGTGTTGAAAGAGATGTTGCTTCAACTTAGTAATACCATCCTGATCATTGCCGGTAATAACAATATCATCAATATAGACCACCAGATAAATACAGAGACTTGAAGGAGAATGCCGATAAAACACAGAGTGATCGGCTTCACTACGAGTCATGCCAAACTCCTGGATAACTGTGCTGAACTTACCAAACCAGGCTCGAAGAGACTGCTTTAATCCATAAAGTGACCGGCGCAAGCGACATACAAGGCCACGAGATTCCCCCTGAGCAACAAACCCAGGTGGTTGCTCCATATAAACTTCATCCTCAAGGTCACCGTGTAGAAAAACATTCTTAATGTCCAGCCATGGATAGAAAAAGGCGGACTGATGCTATCTTAGCCACGGGAGAGAAAGTATCACTGCAATCGAGCCCAATATCTGAGTATATCCCTTGGCAACAAGACGGGCCTTAAGTCGATCAACCTTGCCATTAGGACCAACCTTGACTGCATAAATCCAAAAACAACCAACAGTAGATTTACCTGAAGGAAGGAACAAGCTCCCAAGTACCACTCGTATGTAATGCAGATATCTCGTTAGTCATAGCATGTCGCCATCCTGGATGAGACAATGCTTCACCTGTAGACTCAGGGATGGAAACAGAGGACAAAGAAGATATAAAAGCATAATGGGATGATGACAAACAATGATAACATAAATCGACATAATGGGGATTAAGATTAAGCGTGGTCCGTATACCTTTCTAAAGGGCAATCGGTGTACTAGGAGACAAGTTTGTAGTAGGAGCAGGGTCAAGTGCAGGACGTGAATCAGCTGGGCCTGATGCTGGGCACGGACAACGATGATAAGAGTGGTGTTCCTTTGGCTGGAAATCTAGGAGGAACAACACTAGAGTCCTCAACGGTTGGTATAGGTAAGACTTCTGTGGTTGAAGGTAGAGGAGGAGCTATAGTAAACTCCTCAAAGGTCGGTATAGGTAAGACCTAAGATATATCAAGGTGGTCAGAAGAGGTAAAGAAAGGTGTACACTCAAAAAATGTGACGTCGGCTGACATAAGGTACCTACGAAGATCAGGTGAATAACAACGATATCCCTTCTGAACATGAGAATAACCAAGGAAGATACATTTGAGAGTACGAGGAGCTAACTTATCTTTCCCGGGGGCTAAGTTATGAACGAAATATGTGCTCCCAAAAATACGAGGGGAAGAGAGTATAAGGGTGACTGGGGAAACAATATTGAATATGGAATCTGATTCTGGATGGGAGATGAAGGCATCCGATTAATCAAATAACAAGCTGTGAGAACTGCATCGCCCCAAAAACGCAGCGGAACACGAGATTCAATGAGAAGTGTGCGAGCAGTCTTAATGAGGTGCCTATTTTTTCTCTCTACAACCCCATTTTGCTGAGGGTTATAAGGACAAGATGTCTAATGAATAATTCCTTGAGAAGTCATAAACTGCTAAAACTGAAAGGATAAATATTCCAAGGCATCTGCCAAAAGTGCGAATAAAAACACCAAATTGATTTTTGATTTCAGCACAAAAATTCTGGAATATAGAAAACAACTCAGAACAATCTTTCATTAAGAAAAGCTAAGTACATCTTGAATAATCATCAATGAAACTAACAAAATAGCGAAATTCCAAGGTTGAACTGACTCTACTAGGACCCCATATATCAGAATGAACTAAAGAGAAAACAGACTCTGCATGACTCTCAACACTACGCGGAAAGGAGGCTCCGGTATGTTTCCCAAGCTGACACAACTCACAATCTAATGTAGACAAACTAGACAAACTAGGCATTATCTTCTGAAGTTTGGATAAACTCGGATGTCCTAAACGTGTGTGAATTAGGTCTGGAGAATCTGTAACTAGACATGTTGTGGAGGGATTGAGTGAGTTAAGGTAGTAAAGACCTTCTGATTCACGCCATGTGCCAATCGTCTGTCCCGTACTGCTGTCCTGCATAATAAAAGAATCATCAATAAAACATATACCACAATGGAGGGCACGAGTCAAACGACTAACATATGCAAGACTAAAAGGACAACCAGGGGGACATAAAGAACGGAATCTAAAGTGACAGAAGATAAGGGATTAGCTTGTCCAACTCCTTTTGCTTTAGTTTGAAACCCATTCGCTAAAGTAACAGTGGAAAGAGACTGTGAATACACAATATTCGACAAAAGTAATTTATTACCAGAGATATGATCAAAAGCGCCTGAGTCCATGACCCATGATCCAAGAGTACTAGACTGGGAAACACAAGCAAAAGAATTACCAGCAACAGAAGTATCAGTCTGAGCAACCGAGGCTACTTGTGGAGATGTTTGCTTACTTGCTTGATATTGAAGGAACCCATTATATTGCCCAGGACCATATAAAGAGACCAAGGACCTCAAATCCCTCCGATGTGGGACAACTCAACAAAAACTAACATCACGCTTCCAATTACTTTCTAAGTGGTAAAATTAGCATATTAACATTGCGTATTATGCTTCTATTTAAGTAAAACATTTTAACATTGCTGAATATTCTTTATTTAACATTTTAAATTTGAATATTATTCTTACTTACTCTTTATTTACCCCATTACTATTTTCTGTCTGACAAAGTTGGATAGATCCTTCTCAAAAGAACAAAAAAAAATTGGATAGTTATTAGGATTTTGCTTACTAATTATTGGACAAGTATATTTGGAGAGATATTTACTTGCTATCAGGGCTTCTTTCACCTTCTTTAGCTGAGGGTCTATCGGAAACAGTCTCTCTGCCCTTTCAGGATAGGGGTAAGGCTGCGTACATCCACCCTCCCCAAACCCCACTTGTGAGATTATACTGGGTTGTTGTTGTTGTTGTTGTTTGTATATTTGGAGAGATAAAAAGCTTCTTTGCTTTAGAAAAAACTAGTATGAATAAATGGTGATTGTTTTATATCCAAGGATCTGACCTAGTGATCACTAAAGCGGGAGGACCATGAGGTTCTTAGGTTCAAATCTCAGCAGAGGCAGAAATTGCTAGGCGATTTCTTCTTATTTGTCTAAGTGTTGGTATGTAGAATTACCCGGTACCTGTATTGATGGTAGGTAGCGAGTATCCAATAGAATAGTCGAACGGGTAATTGGTTTAGGAGAAAACTAAATTTGATTAAGTTTTCCTATAGTTACTACTCAAATATGAACTTAATGGACACCGAAGGGAATGACCTAGTGGTCAATAAAGTAGATCGAGAACCATGAGGTTTTTAAGTTCAAAATTTCAGTGGAAACAAAAACACTATGGTAATTTCTTCTCATCGGTCCACGCCTTGATGGACAAAGTTATACCCGATAAATTGTTATAAAAGTATTGGCTATCTATAACTAACATAACAACTAACTAAAAACACACACTAAAATTTCAAATTAATAGCATTAAAATTCGAAAATAATGACAAAAAATATAAATCATGTTTATAGGATACAATACTATCAAATATATATGAATAACATTATTTCATAAAAAATAAAGTACCTCTTTTGAAGAAAAATTTTCAAATTTGACAAAGTTTCCAGAACTTCAATTTCACGAACTTTCAACCAAAAATCTTGATTTACACCTCCACTACGCTGCGGGTGTTAGTTGCTTTGTTAAGAAGTTGAAGATATGGGATTTTGGGAGGCTCGTTTCGCCTGTAAAGGTAGCGCTTTCGGGGGGGGGGGGGGGGGAAGGTGGACGTCGAGCTCTGAACTCAGAGAGAAGTTTAATTTTTTGAGTATGTAGACTGAATAAACAGCGACCTATGGTTAACTAATTTTCCACCAAATTTTTTTGGGGACCATGGGAGAGGGCGGTGAGGGGTGACTGGGTGAATACCTGAAAACCCCCTAAACTTGGCACAAATTATTCGTGGTGTTAATTATCCCCTCAACTTGTTCTTTTGAGAGTTATTACCCCTGAACGCTGATGTGGCAAAAAGTGTGGGTGCACTCGCCTGTCACGTGGATTTTTCTGTATATGTGATATTTTTCTGAAAAATAAAAAATATTTTTACCTTTTTAAGAATGTTATTTTTTGAGATAATTTTTTTCGAATATAATTTATAGTAAAACTTGGATAGAACTACATTATTTAGGCTAAATTTTTTATTTGGCTAAAAATAATAAAGTTTTAGTTAATCTTTTTTTGAATTTGACCCAAAAATAAAGATTTATACAATTGAAATAAATAGTCAAGGTATCTAAAAAGTTATAAAAAATACATAGATTGAAATTAATTATTTTGTCTATAATTTTTTATATAGCTCTAAATTACGGTGCTCTAAAAATATATTATTTTTACAGATTTTATTCGAAAAAGTAAATATACACAGTTAAAATAAATAGTCATTGCATCAAAAGAAGAAATCAAAAGAGAGTACAATTGCAATATAATGACTATTTTATTTCAATTGTGTATTTTTACTTTTCAGGTAAATCTGTAAAAATATATATATATTGTTAGAGTACCGTAATTTAGAGTTATATAAAAAAATTATAGCCAAAATAATTAATTTCAAATTACGTATTTTTTATAACTTTTTAGATGCATTGACTATTTATTTCAATTGTATAAATCTTTATTTTCAGGTCAAATTAAAAAACAAAGATTAATTAAAACTTTATTATTTTTAGCCAAATAAAAAAATTTAGCCTAAGAATGTAATTATATCCAAGTTTTATTATAAATTGTATTCGGAAAAAATTATCTAAAAGGTAACATACTTAAAAAGGTAAACATATGTTTTATTTTTCAAAAAATGCCACATACACAGAAAAATCCACGTGGCAGGCGAGTGCACCCACACTCTTTGCCACATCAGCGTCCAAGGGGGTAATGACTCTCAAAAGGCCAAGTTGAGAGGGGTAATTAAGACCACGAATAGTTTAAGGCTGTAACTAGTAATCCGTGGCAAGTTTAGGGGGGCTTTAAGGTATTTTGCCATTTTAGGTGTCAATTCTGATATTTGATTTATCAATCTTTTTTAAAGAATTTTTTGTACATAATTAGAAATTAGATTAGAAGTACTATTAAAAATTCTCGTACAACTTTTTATAATTAAAAGATTCTTAAAAATTGAAAATAGTTATGGCTAAAGAAAAAGACGATTGGCACTCAAGGGTGTGGCCTAGTGGTCAATGAAGTGGGTGAGAACCATGAGGTCTCAGATCAATTTCCAGCTGAGTCAAAAACATTAGATTAGGTAATTTTTTAGTTGTGGTGCACGCAAGCTAATCCTGACACCAAAGAAAAAGCTGATAGATTCACGAAGTTATAATAATGTCACATAAAGTGAGTAAAAGTGAGGGAGCCAACTAAGTTTGATTAAGCACACATTTTATGTATGTATTGGTTTTGTCTAAACTTTAAGATGAATAAAACTCATGTAATATATGCAATATGAGTATAAACCAAATTAATAAATACATGATTAATGATTATCTTTTTTTTTAAAATTACCATTTAATTGTAGGTAATTTATCTTAGACTAATTTTTCTAAGACAAAAAATAAATGCATTCTTAATCATTCATAATCTCTTGGGATGCAATTAGTGATTTCTTTTAAGCAAAAAAAAAAAAGGAAAAGTTTGTTACGAAACTTAACTCAAAAGTAATAATATAAAACAAGAAAAGAGACAAGAATGTAGGGAGGAAGAGAGAAGAGATCCTTATTTCTTCCATGTATTCAAGTGTATACAACACGATGCCAAAACCCTCTATTTATAGGATTACATAGAGGCATACAAAAAAATGCCATAAACATGACATTAAACATTTTAGATCATGGAGGAAGATCATGGGGAGGTTATAGAGGTGTAGGAGTTACAACTATAATGGTGAGAAATAGTGGGAGTTATCTACATAATGGAGAAGAGTAGTGGGAGTAATTTCTTTAGGAGTTATAGACATCCACTAATATAATTATAATATTCCATAACACTCCCCCTTGGATGTCTATAGATAATGTGCCTCGTTAAAACCTTACTAAGAAAAAATCATGTAGGAAAAAATCTTAGTGAAGGAAAAAGAGTACACATATCTTGTAATACGCATTACTTGTTGCCTCATTAAAAACCTTGCCAGGAAAACCTAGTGGGATAAAACCTTATCTAAGGGAAAAAGAGTACAGCGCGTATTTGCCTCCCCCTGATGAAAACATCACTTTTGTTTCTTGGAGACGACGAATTTCAAGCTTGTATAATAACTTCTCTAATATTGAGATCGGCAATGCCTTGTGAAGAAGTTTGTCAAATTATCACTTGAACAAATTTGGTGAACAACGATCATGTCTGAAATAGAACTTTGGTGAAATATGCTTTATTTTGTCTCCTTTGATATATCTTTCTTTCGATTAAGATAAACAAATATCATCACCTTCACTATATTGGAATCTTTTCTTCAAGGAAAAGTCACACATCTGTCGTGTGTTGAGTCACTTGCTTTATCAGTTGCTAATATATTGACATAACTTGGATAAGTATGAACAATTGACTGCCTTGTGAAATAATAATATGGCAGTACCCTCACATATAGAATGAACTTCAGAAAATGCATAACCAATAAAACCTTGACAATACTGTTAGAATAAACAAATCTATATCATGGATTCCTTTTGTAATATAACACTAATCGTATTTCAATACACATAGGAGTAAAACTATATCTCGCTAGAATATTGTTATACTTATGGTTCTAGCAAGATAGATTAGTGCAGCAATTGCACTAGACACAAAAATAAATCATGTACACCATGATTACTCTAATCCACATAAGGATCTGCCGAAACTTTAACAATTTAAATCCTGCAAGGATTTTCATTATACGCATATTAAGTTTTTTATGTATTGCCAAATTAAAACCTGAAAAGGATTTTATCCACCGTAGGAGAACATATCTCCATATAACTAATGCCGGAATATTTACGAAAAATCTTGTGCTACAAGTCGTCTTTATGTCTATCGACTTGATTTTTCATTTCACTTTCAGGTGTTGAGACTATACGTTCAACTTTACATTTTTCAGGTGAAGTCAATTTTCATTGCGTATTTTTTATTTGGCCAATCATTTATCTGTCCAAATTCCATGACAGATTTGAGCTCAAGATCCTCATCAATATTAATAATATTGAACGCTATATTATATCAATAATATCGTCGACGATCATTTTACATCGGTTCCGTCGTTACCCACTAAATACATAACTTATTGAGATCTCTTTATCTCATTATTTTCAGGTACCTGAGCCCCTCCCATGAGGTCTTATGAATTGTTATGTCATGGTGCTCTTATATAGCACTTGCCTCCTTATTATGACCATCTTGAACATTTGCTCCTCTCCTTCTTCAAGGAGTTTTATCTTTATAACCGATTAGTCTATTACGCTTCATGCGTTCCATAGACTATGTCCATCATGAACTTTATTCTATTTGGAGCATTAATAGCTGAAATATGACATTTAGTTTTGGGTTATCAAATGCGCATGGCAATATTTTGCAAATGAATTATCACTTGAACTTCAAGTTCATATTTTCTTGTACGAGGATCTAGATGTATTCATAATAATTCATTCCACGTATCACTTTTTCAGCTGGCCATTTTCTCCCCCTAATGTTAGGATCACCAACACATTTCCCTACCTTCTTTGGGAACCCATTTTTGTGCATTGTGGTGTCACAATTAAATCATATAGCACATCCATATTTCAAGATGAAAATTATTTGGTTCCTTACCCTGAACCTATTGTGACCGGGATAATTTATCATAACTGTGACGACCTGGCCCGTCGTCACGTGAGTTACCGCCCCGTTTCCCCATCTTATGTTTCTCTATGCTTCATTGTCGGTATTTGATGTGATCGAGTTGGTTTGGATTGGTTTTGTTAGGAAATGAGACACTTAGTCTCTTTAAAGAAGGCTTATTTTGGAAAAGTCAACCGGATGTTGACCTATGAGTTAGAGGGCTCGGATGTGATTTTCGTTGATTTGGTTAGCTTCGGGGGATGATTTGTGACTTAGGAGTGTGATCGGAATTGATATTGGAGGTCCGGTGTAGAATTAGGCTTGAATTGGCGAAGTTAGTATTTTGGCGAATTCCGGTTGATAGGTGAGAATTTGATCCGAGGGTCGGAATGGGACTCCGAGAGTTGCTGTAGCTTTGTTAGGTGATTTTGGATGTGTGTGCAAAATTTCAGATCATTCGGAGGTGTTTTGGTCGGGCTTTTGATCAAATGCGCAATTCGGAAGTTTTAGAAGAACTTAGGCTTGAATCCAATGTAATTTGATGGTTTTGGTGTAAATTGTGGTGTTTTGATGATTGGAGCAAGTTTGAATGATGTTTTAGGTTGGCACTCTTGGTTGAGGTCCCGGGGGCCTCGGGGTGATTTCGGATGGTCATCGGGATGATTTTAGACTTGGTGAAATTGCTGGTTCTGTTGGTATCTAGTGTTTCCGCATCTGCGGAAGAAGGGCCGCATATGCGGTTCCACAGATGCGAGGGATTGGACGCAGGTGCAAGTCTTGAGGAAGTTTGCTGTTTCCGCAGGTGCGGGCTTCTAGCCGCATCTGTGGTGGCGCCGATGCGGTAGAGTGATCGC